TGTGCGCGCAGGCTCGGCCCTGGGGGGGGGGTTGTCCAGACCCGAACGACTGATGGTCTGTGGAGCGGGCTCCCTCCACAGCCCCCCAGCAGTGGGGCAGGCCTGGGGCACGCGGTGCTGGGTGGGAGGAGAGGCTGGAGCTCGTCTCTCTCTGCCGTACTCCCCCGACACCGGCCCCACCGCCCAGGCAGCTGTCAAATCCCCCAAACCCCTGTGGAAGCTGCCCATGCTCCTCGGCCGCGGAGACTGACTCTCTCTTCTCTCCCCAGCGCTGTACCTTGGCCAGTCGGGCCCCCCGGGGCTGAAGCACTTTCTCTTCTCTTCCCAGGACCACGTGCCTCGCTCGCTGAGCCCCTGCTTCCCGAGCCGCCCGCCCCTGGGCCTCTGGCAAACTGCCCGTTTGATCGTATGCAGCCACGGTGTCTTCTGTGGGCCGCTCCCTGCCTGCTGCTTGTCCCCCTGAGCCTGGCGCGGGCCCGGCTCAATAACTCAGAAGTAACGGGGCCCCGGCCAGCTGCCCGGAGCGAATTGCTGCTCTGGGTAGGAGAGTTAACGCCAGGGCGAGGGGGGAGCGGGTTCTCCTTGGGAGATGGTTCGTTTGGGGTTGTCTCCTGCTGCTCGGAGCTAGGCAGGTGGGGGAGCTCGGGAGCGGTTCCCTGCAGCGTGCGGCCGGCTGGGCGGGGATTTCTGTTACACTGGTTTTGCTTCTGAAGCCGGGGTCTGGCTCCGCCGGGCTCCGCCTCGTCTCGCTGCTTTTCCCCCAGCCAGCCATTGTGCTCCCAAGCACTGTGCTTGCGAACTCCGCCCTGCCCGGGGCGGCGTGACGGCGGGACTGGGCTGGGCGGCTGGCGCGGCCCCTTTGAAATACTGTAACTTAATACTGGACCATTGGTGGCTGGGGTCACTCCTGTCTCCAGGACTCTGACCTGGCTGGGAGCTGCTCTCGAATGGTTTAGTCTCGTGCAATGCCCGTGGCAGGAGCCCCCCTCGGGCTCGTGCGCCGAATCCCTTGGGCGGGCGCTGGGATCTGAGTTTTAAAACCCCCTGGCAGATGTAACAGCACATCCGCATCTCAAACCAAGCCACCTACCGGGCCGGAAAGTCCAGGTCTCCTGAGCCGGGGTAACGTGCCCACAGCACCTTCCCCTCAAGGGGCCGGTTTGAATCCGGCCCCGCGGGGTCCAGACCCAGGGTCACGTTTTCAAGAGTGCCGAAGGGACAAGCTCCTAAATCACCTAGTGCTGAGTGTTAACCGCCTCTGGCTCTCCTCTGGCCCCTTCGGGGCTCCTGTAATGGCCCCAGCCGGCTGAGAGGGGCTCGCCCTGCCACTGCCCATCTCTACCCGCCCTGGGCCGAGTCTAGCTGGAGCTGGTGGCCTCCCTGAGCAGCCAGAACCCATCTGCTTTGTCCTCACACAGCCCCTCGCCTGCGCCCCTTCCCCGTCCCTCTCGCCTCCTCTGGCAGCAGTGATCCCTGGCCCCCTCGTACAGCTCGGCCGGGCTATGGCCCCGGGGTCTCTCTCCTAATCCTTGGCCCAAACCATCGCATGGCCCACATGGCCCTCCTGGTAACCGCCAAACCGGTGATAGGCAATAGGCGGCCCGCGGGCCAAATGTGGCCCACCCTGGCTTCCCGGGGGCCCGCCAGCTCCCCTTACAAAACGTGTGTAATTCAATCCAGTCCATGATGCGCTGCCTTAGCAAGCGACTTACCCAGCCTGAAGTTCTGGCGAGAGCGTCACCGCCGCCCCTTTTGTCGTTCGTGACGGAAACGGAGCCACAAACGAATGCGACTGGGCGTAAACGTCACCCAGTCGGCAGCGGAAACCGAGCTTTGAACCCGAACTGGCCAGCGGGTTTTCTCTGTTCCGTCGGCTCGTCGAGTTGCCAAACGGCCGTAGCCGTCCGGACGGTCGCCACGGTGAATCGAAGTAACTTGGCCGCGGCCTGTCCTCCTGGCAGTGTTGTAAGATGGGACGAAATGGGAAAGCTGCAGTCTCTGTATTGCACTTCCAATGTCCTTCTCACCCCAGCAGCGCCTGCAGGGAAAGCCGCAGCTGCCTCTCTTCGGAGAATGCGGGTTCTCGCGCAGAAGAAACGGCCTTTCCTGGCTGCCGAGCTGGGACAGGAGGGCACGCTGGACGTGCGGGGGGAGCTTTTTGCCAGAGGTAAAAACAAAGGTGACACTGAACC